CTTGCTATGTTAACTCTTTACTAATCAGCTACATAACAAACAACTGCAAAAACTTCAGTATCTTATGATGACAAATATTTATTTTCCCAATTAGCTTCAGGGTTTGGCTGTTCCAGGCTAAACTTCAGGCTTTGGGTTGAGTCCAGGTCTGTTCCACAAATCTTCTGAATCCCAGGACCTGCAGCTCTCTGCAGGCATGTTCTTCTCATGGCAGGTGGTGGGAATGCAAGAGAGCAAGCTAAATCATGCAAACACTTTTAAGGTCTCTGCTTACATCATACCCCTTACTCCATCAGCCAAAGCAAGTCACCCCACCAATATTAGTGGGGTGAGAAAATTGCTTTCATCCATTCTAGCAGGGAGAACTGCAAAGTCACATGGCAAAAGGTGTGACTGTACAAATCCCTTATACTGAGGGATTAAAGAATTGTGAACAACAATCCAACCTATCACGGTACCCTAGGAATTTCACCGAACTCAGAGGGCAAATGAGGTTAGAAGCATCACTTTATCACCTTTGAAAATGATATTTCTTGCTGTATTTATTAGTTTATTCCCACACCTATCTATACCCACAGGAACCTTGATACAGCCAGGAAAAACACATGCAATTTTCATAATATTCTATGCAAATTATTTAGTAATGTACTAATGAAAGTACTAACAACTAACATTAATAAGTTCTTACCATATGCCAAGAGTGTTACATGGATGATTTCACTTAGCCCTTAGTTGATGACATTATTGTTCCTCTTTTACAGATGAGAAAAACAAAGGCCTGGAAATATGCCCAATGTCAGAAAGCTTGTGAGTGGCAAAGCCAGGATTTGCATCCAGGCAGCCTAGATTCAGAGCTGTGCTTTTAAGCCATTATGATATTTTAAGTGCTGTGCTTATAATTTTGTGCCAAAATTGTGAAAGTACCACCAAATTTCTATGCTATGACTGATTCTTGTGGACTCAGAAAGCTAAAGTTTAATTTTCAGGAAAAAAAATTTTTATCCTAATCAACTAAAATACCAAGAAAACTTGAGTTTTTCATTTTTCCTCATAGAAACATCAACATATCATAGTTCAAGTGTTTAACTGTATGTTATTTAAATTTAAACATTTCTTGTCTTTGAAGAAATGCTATATGAGTACATATCATTTATCAAAACAATTCTTCAAAGCTTCTAAGCCACCTTGCCTTTCTACTTCCTAGCCTCAATGAAGTATCTGCTACAGGTACTATCTCCTATGATACTATAAAAGCCATGTTTTCAGTCAAGAAAAAATGGTCACAAAAGAAAATAATCACAAAAATCTTACATTTTCATTAAGCAAGTTCATTCATGAGTGTGTTCAATAAATAATTTAACAAGTAAGAGGCTTCTTCTCCATTATGAAACAAGAATTCTATAATGCAAACATACTTCTATCACATCCAGAGATTCTAGTCCCTCTCTCCACTGTTATGGGGATGTGCACTTTAATTATAGACATGCATTTCTCTCCATTTGTTTTCTGAGCTCATGAATAATGAAAGTATGGTACCATTTATCAGGAATCACCAAGGACCTAATGTTAAAAGGCAGGCTACTGCAGTAAGCAGTGGTCTGCCAAGTGTCTCATCTGACGACGGGCAAATGCTGTTGTAGGAGTGAAAGTCAGGTCAATCAGATACAGCAGATTAAGACTCCGTCTTAGGGAATTTAGAAGTTACTAACAACACAAAACATTATCAAAATGTTCTTGGCATATAAGAAACAAGATATACATGAGAGACCATTTCTGTCCTCAAAGAGTGCCATTATCTTTAAAAAGTGGAAATGAAAAAGAGGACATTGCTAAGTGCCAACTTTTTGAACATAAATTTTGAAAAGTATAGAGTGATACCTCAGTCCAAACAGGAACAATGAGGAGATGCAGACTGTATTTTTCCATAACGTCCAAGGAATTTGGAACTAAGGGATTGTTGAAAGGTGCTTAGTTCAAGTGTTTTTCTTTTTGTTGTTAACAAATCCTCACTTACTCTCCGTTAGCTTGTTAAGAGCTCTGACACTTATCTAAAATGTGTGATTAACTGGCTTGTGGGAAATACAAAATCAGGAACTATAAATGGATTTATGAGATTCTCCACAAGAGAGAACAATGATACAATGGAAAACAGGAACTTACAGGAGATTTTCATTTAAGTTAAAGCCAAATTTCAAATATTTTAATGGAAAAAGATTCACATATATTTCTTTAGTAGGTATAAATTATATTATCACATCAAATCGCCCATATAATTTTAAGAAACGAAACTTTTGCCATGGAAAATATTTCAGTATTAACAGAAAAAAAATTTTTTTTTTTTGTCTTTTGTCTTTTTCCGTGTCCGGCAACGGATCGCAACCCTCAGTGTTGCCCCCGTACTGGACCAGGGACCGGCAACGGGATTGCAACCCTCGGTGTTGCTCCCGCGCCTCACTCAGTCAGTGAGCGGGAACCGGTCTGTATGTGGGATCCGAACCCTCGGGCGGGAGCGCCGCCGCGCTTCCCAAGCGGCGCACTATCCAGTGCGCCACCGGGCCGGCCCTTAACAGAAAATTTTTAACAAAATTAAATTTCCTTTTTAGAAAGTTAATTACTGAATGATCCTGAGTGGACTCAAGAGGATGTGGCCAACCCTATTTTCAGCTATCTCTTCAGCATTTTTATACTCCACTATGTATCGTTAATGAAGATTTGAAAGAACAGAAGTGATTTCTTAACATAAACTTAACTTCAATATAATTAACGAAGTAACATTTTTATTTATAAAAATTTACAAAAAACATGTTACATGCATGAGAAGTCTGTTTCTTTTAAGGGTCAACACTTTTCAGAAAAAATCCCAAACAAGGTAAAGTATTTCTCTGAAGGTATCATAGCCCAAACCTAAGTATGGGAAATTTCCTTAGAGGACATCAAGGGCAAACTCCTACCCATTTTGCAGGAATTCCTGCTATAGTATTTACAATAAGTAGCTTTCCAGAGTATGCTTGAATACTTCCAATTACTGGGGGTGGCAAGCTTTACCCATTGTCCAGCCTTTTCCATTGCTGGTAAGCTCTGATTATGAAAAAGTGCTTCCTATTGATCAAATCTACATTCTTAAAATTCTACATTCTTAAATTTTGAACCTATATTCTTAAAATTTCAACCCACTGGTTTTAGTTCTAGAATCCACATACAACTCAAATTCCAGTTCTTCTGTTCCCTAGCTGGAAGTTGCTGAGAATAACAGCAAGTCCCAATACTTTGTGACTTGCTGGAGGGACTGGGGGGAGGGAGGAGAGAGGAAGAGGTGTGACAGAGCAGTGAAAAAGGAGGTGAAAGACATTTGGTTCACAAGAATATTTTATGTCCGATTTAGTGACATAGATATAATCCAAAACTACTGAAAAAGTATGTGTGAAAATATTTATATATACATGAGTATGTGTAGATGCACGTGTATGTATGTATAATGTATGTGTACAAAGAAGCAAGTATATATGTGTATTGGTATATGTATACGTGCAAGTATGTGTTTGTATGCATGTGTGTGCATATGTATGTATTTGTGTGTATAACATGCCAAGCCAGCTAACAGAAAAATCTTCAAACTATGTTCAATAAGAAATGCAAACATCAGGTTTTAGGACATTATTTTTAAGTAGAATATAAAATACACACAACTGCTAAGCATCACAGGAGTTGTTGACAGACTAGAAAGGAAGAAGGAATTTAATAAGCTTATGTTTATGTTAAGGTAAAAGTATGATTATTTCAAAATATCTGAATCATTATGTTAAGTTTACTATCTGGACATTTGTTACCAAGTAGGTGAAGTTCCCAATCAGTAAATCAAAATCAACCAACAGATCACTCTACCAGGTCCCTTTCTGCAAGTTTCTGACAGGATTCTTACTACGGAAGGGTATAGGCCAGTGATGCTGTCCCTCCATGGTCTGGCTCAGGACATCCCCTGTCACTCCCTCACCAAACCCTTCCAGTCTCTGGGCTTCAGAGAATCGAAAAGTGGCAACTCCTCACAAGTCGAGGCTACCTTGTGGTGAACACAGCCCCCATCAGCAGGATGCTCGATTATTAAAGAAGAGCTAGAATATGTTCATTAGACTTAACGACAAGAAGAACAAATTCAGAAAAATTTTCACAAACACAGAAACCATAAAGGGGAGGGGGTTGGATAAATGTTTTCAGTATATCCAGATAATAGACAATGATCTAGAAATAGTCAAAATTTTACTAAATTCATGCCGGTCCCCGGTATGGGCGCGACACCGAGGGTTGCGATCCCGTTACCGGTCAGTAAAAAAAAGACAAAAAGGAAAAAAAAAATTTTACTAAATTCTATTCATCAAAAAGAATAAAACTGTATTCAGATCCAATAAGGTAAAACAATAAACCTATATAGAGTTTTGGTTATCATGAAATTGAATACAATAACTGGACAATGTAATAATTATCTTTTTCTAGGTAATACATAAACCCATTCCAAATTCTATAGCCCGGTAAAGTACAAAATTATTAACTTTGATCCATGGGCTAAATCTGGCATACCATCTGTTTTTGTTAAAAAAAAAAAAAAAAAGATGTTTAGTTGGAACATGTGTTCATTCGTTTGTTGTCTATGGCTATTTTCAGTTATAATATCAGAGTTGAGTAGTTGTGACAGAGACTATGATGGCCCACAAAGCCTAAAATATTTACTATTTGTTTCCTTACAAAAAAAGTTTGCAGATCTCTTCTCTACATAATCACTAATCTTAAAATAAACATGTAGACCACATTACTAAATCATGATAGCCTGTGAGACACAAAGAACTTCACTTGCCATAAAATACAAGTCCTCTGTTATAAACTAGCAACAACAACAAAAAATACCAGAGTTGTAAAACTTGTTCCAAGTTATGAAGGGGGGATGGTATCTTACAGTTTGGAGACATAGAACAAGTGTACATCCTACTTGTTTTACTGGTTCTTCCTACCTGTTTTTCCTCCTTTTCATCTGAAGTATTTTTGACATCACGGACATTTCCCCTGGGTTCGTAAACTTTCAACTTTTGTTGAATGGACCAATTATCCTTCTCTTTTGTCATGTTTTCCTCATCACTTTCTGGGTTATTTTTCCATTCTTTCATCATTTCTAATACATTGGTTGGTCTCACCGAAGAAAGTGTATTGCCCTAATATTAACAATAAATTTTTAGTGTTAGCTTAGGTTATTGAAAAGACTCTTACATATTTTAGTAATATATTCTCCCAAATTCAATAATATTTACATGGAAAAAACTTCTGATGCCCATTGGAGCACACTTCTTGTTCTGACATAGCTCACACCTCTTGCATAATATCACTTATAAATATGTGAAAGCTTAGAGGGAAAATAGTCAGACTTGAAAGAACAATGTATCGTGATTGTTCAAAGGACACTGCAGAGGCAATTCCCTGGAACCCAAAGACTCCTTATAGCACGATTCTTTGAAAACTGATAGGGAGGCTGAAAGAATGAAGGAAGTTGCCCAAAGACTAGTGGGTCCGATGCTATGGGTAAGTCTATATAACATCAAAATGTCCAGGTAAAAAATCTAAATTCAGTCAATTATTTAAGCACTGTATCTAAGAATATAGATATTTGATTTGAAAGCCTTTGTCTGTATGGAAGATTAGATATAATGTAGTCATTTGATTATAACTGTCTCAGTGCACTGTTCTTATCCCAGATATGACTATACCATACCAAAACTGACCATTTGATATTAACTATATTTTCCAAATGTAATAGCCCGTTTGACATGCCAAGAAATACATGACTGCAGGCTCAAATAGCTCCAGCTTGACTAGGAATACCTTAGATATTTCTTCTCCTAACTCCGACTGTTAGAGAAAAGTTTGACAAGAAGTTTGGATCACATTTAGAGTAAAATGAGAAGTTTAGGTGTGGGCACAGCTATGGAGTGATTCCAAATTTGTCTGGTATGTGGGTAGATTGACATTTTAAGCACTGTGACACAGAAAACTATAGGACTGGACACTTTTTCCAGGGCAATTATCTGAATACACTGTTGAAGATTTGTTGAGTTTAACAAAATGGTACTTCAAAACACTCATGGAAAGATCTGTGTTATCTTTTTATTCATTTATTATCATTAATTGAAACAGTGATTGTATGCATTTATGGGGTACAGTTATATTTCAATACATATACAACATGTAGTGATCACACCAGGGTGGTTAGCTAACTCATCATTACAAAAATTTATCATTTCTTTGTGATGAGAATATTTAAGCTCCTGTATTCTAGCCATTTGAGAACATACAATAAATTATTGTTAATTATAGATGCCTAACACTACTGTACACCACTAGAACTTACTTTTCCTATCTAGCTGTAATTTTGTGTCGATTAACCAATTTCTCACTATCTTCCCTCCTTTCTCTTCTTAGTCTCTAGTAACCACAGTTCTACTCTCGACTCCTAAAAGTTCAACTTTTTTTTAGGTACCACATATGAATGAGAAAATGCGGTACTTATCTTTATGCACCTGACTTATTTAACATAATGTCTTCTAGGTTCATCCATGTTGCCACGAATGACAGGAATTCATTCCTTTTCATGGCTGAGTAGCATTATATTGTGTGTATATATCACATTGTCTTTATCCATTCATCTGGTGGGGGACACCTAGATCGAGTCCATATCTTGGCTATTGTGAATAGTGCTGCAATAAACACGGGGACTCAGATATCTCTTTGGTATGCTAATTTCCTTTCCTTTGGATAAATACCCAGCAGTGGGATTGTTGGATCCTATGGTAGTTCTATTTTTAGTTATTTGAGGAACCTCCATATAGTTTTCCATAACGGCTGTACTAATTTACATTCCCACCAACTGTGTATAAGAGTTCTCATTTCTTCACATCTTTGCCAGCATCTGTTATTTTTTGTCTTCTTGGTAATAGTGATTCTAACTGGGGTGAGATGGTATTTCATTGTGGTTCTGACTTACATTACCCTGACAATTAGTGATGTTGAG